AAACACTCAAGCCGCGTGACAATATGTCTCACTTGCAACCTTAGCCGAAAACACGTACACTACCACTTTCCATCCATTTTTGCTTACGCGGCTACCACCTGCGTTGCACGCCATTCTTACGAGCTTCACCTCTATCAGGTCAAGTTGTATTAATGTTTAAGCAAGCAGCAAACACAAGACGGCATCCCTTTCTTCGCACTGCACACTACTCGGCCCAACCATACACACACGCCAGCACAGCACAGGAAGCCAACCAAGTTCCACAAGTCTCCACGGATAACTGCGGAGCATGTTTAGTATTTATACTGCAGAGAAGACGAGTCTCGCGTTCGTACTTTCAATCTGGAACTCCCAACAAGTGTATTAAAAACAATTCACTTGTGGACGTCTTCCACTTTTTGCACTGTATCTATATTCATCAAAGTGAACCTAACTATTGTATTCATCATCATTCCACTAAAGCGGACATTTGTTAGTGCTTGTCACATTCGGAAAATCAACCTAACTACGTTAAAGCCACAACACTAACAAGCCATGCTGGTTTGTGTATCGGCTGCCTACTTGCAGTTAAAACAGTCGGCTAGCCGTAAGTAAACGGACGAAACATGAATCCCTGCGGTGCAATACGTCGGCTTGAGGGCAGAACCTGTGTTATAGTAAGCAGAAAAAGGAAGCCTTCTGTGCCGCGTTGCCCGAAAGGGCCGTACCATGGAATGTTGCTGATGGTGGAGCGTCCGCAGCCAAAACACACGGATGGTATATTTTGTGAACATGTTTTTTATGGCTTTTTATGTGAGGAGTGAACGTGACACCAAAGCCTAGGAAAATTTGCCGGTCCTATTTGTTCGACCAAGTCACTCAATACCAATGTCTACATCGATCGTTTCCCTGAAAAACGTTAGTAGTTTACATAGATCAACAAGCCCCTAGCTTTCCATTGACACAGATGTGACCGCAGTCAGATGCCACTGTCATTCGTTGGAAGAACTGGGTAGACCTCGTATCTACATGCCACAGACAACTTGTTCACTAGGGGACCCACACAACAAAGTCTACTGGTTATGCCTAGCAAGCGTCCGAACGTAGTCTCCTGCGCCCTAACTGGCGCATGTGGCTCTAGTGAGCTTCCCCGTTACTGGCAATCACTCGAAATTCAGGCAACTGACCAGGATAAAGGTATATCAGGTGCCATAATAGGGACGAGCTGCTGGCTACTTACCAAACGGAGCAGGTCGACACTTCCGGTGGCAAACGTGGATTCCATGCATGATAAGGACCTCTCCAAACCTGTCGGCTACAAGCTGCCACACACCAGAAGACAGCGTCCCTTTCAGACTCGGCAAACACGGCGAGTGCCACAACAACTCTCGTTTTATAAACGGCCCAACATGCAAAAACGTAGCAACGTTATGGTTGTGAACAAGACAGTAAAAGGTGACTGCTGGAAGAATCTTTTGCCTTCTTAAATAAAACCGAACTCCTCGATTTGGGTGGTGTTTTTTAGTGAGAAGCGAGCTCAAATTGACAACTCCAGGTTTCTCAAGTCTCACTTGGTTTCTATCAGTAAGGTCAGCTTCCTGAAAGCAACCACTGAATGCCCGGAATCTACGGAGACCCTCAGCTCCGCTGGGTGTTGACCAGAC